CAGGCTTATGTCGAGATATTCTCCGAACGAGATATTGTCCATTGTCGCCGGAAGACGCTCACCTCACCACATTACCCGCGGGGTAACGCAGATCTAAAGCGAAGAGCAATGCAGGGTGAGATTCGAAGAGATCGGAGGAGGAGGAATAGCAATCTGACATGAAGAAGCAACAACTCTGACCTAACCCCACCACCACCAGCACCACTACAGACACCAGTCAATATCAGTCCCCAATACACGAGCCGTCGTCCTCCTTTATCGGATTTTATTTCATTTTATTTTATTTATTTTATTATTATTATTATTTTAACCAAATTTGCATCTACCGCCTTCTGGTTTTCATTTGTATGCACATAACTCCCCAAGTTATAAAAGTTAGTAAGACACGTACATAACTCTTTTTATAATTTGCATCGAAAAAGCAAAGGTTTCGTAGTTGACCTAAATGCTCTCAACACTAATGAGAGAAGTTTTTAGTTTTCAATTTTGATTTTATCTTCAAAAGAGTATTTTTTTTTTAAGATTATACATTAGAAAATATTTTATTTTATAAATTTATTAAAATATTTTTAATAAAATTATTTTTATATTATTTTGTTAAAAATATTTAAGTAAATTTAGAAGATAAACTATACTTTCCATGTACAGTTAACTCTCTAAAAAACTTGAATTCCTTTTATCTTATGGTGCAAAATATGTTTATCCTATCTTTAGAAGGGGAGAATGTAGCTATAACAAACCACAAAAGACTGTGTATGTAATTTTACCTTTTATATATGATAAAATTTTTTTCTTTGTAAAATTGAAAATCATTTCTTTCGCTTTGTGTCAAAGTTACAGTTAACTACAATCTATAAAAACCCACTCTTATGGAATTTGTTAATAACAAGGCGAGGTGGCTTGATTCTTTAAAGTTTATGTCTTCAATTGGATGGGATACACCAGAATTTCTCCCTTTTTTAATGTGTAACTTTTATCTAATATTTTTCTATGTTATATTTAAATAAATAGGTAGATACACATAATATTATATAATAAGTGTCAATCATATAATGATATTATAAATTTATAAGATTATAATAACATATAGTATTATAATACTTATATTGCTGAAGAACCCTTCAACTAATTATTGGTTGAAATCTCTTAAAATCTTAGACTACATTGAAGAAGGTAAGAGAAGAATATCGATTGGTTTTGTATATTAAATTGCTAAGACAGTATCTAGTGGTACCAATGTTGGGAGATGTTGCTGATGAAGTGATGATGTGGTTAAAGGTAAACAAATATGCAAGATGCAGAGTATGCTCTCAAGGAGTTATTGGTAGAGAATTCAGATAGTACATTTCAATTATATTTTCTATGAATTTACTATTTCTGAATTCCTTTTCCTAAAATACTTGAAAGTTTGAACGTACAACTATCTTTTCATTGTACTCACAAGTATGCATAAACCATGTGCATCTAAGAATGAACTGAAATTAACTGCTAATTATACCTATAAAGTTCTACGCATGTTGTTAGATTTTGATAGCGAAAATCCCCACAAATCATCTTTTTCATGGAAGGAGCCTGGTGGTTGTTCCTTTGTCCCACTTTCACCACAAGTTTTCGACAGTGGAAATCCACACAATCCAAAGTTTCCTTTATGGGAATCATTACTAAAGGTGTTGAATTGTTTTCCCTGCGGTATGAGTTCGACAAGTCAATTATTTGAAAGATTTAGTACAGAAAGTTGTGTTAAAGACATAAATTTCTCTGGAATTTCCCCTATCAGCTTATTGGAAGAGAGATCCAACCATTCAAGATTTGTCAAATTCCTGAGTAATGGTGAGATTCAACCATCAAGGTTTTTATAGGACGGATTAAGCACTTTGAGAGAACTAAGTTTTCCAATAACATTTGGAATTTCTCCTCTAAATCTGCTATTTGAGAGATCAATGCTAGTGAATATGCTTAAAATTCTCTGCATCTCAACGTCAATCCTTTCATTGTGACAACCAGTGTATATAGATATGAAAAATGAGTGCCATGTGTCATCATGTATTGAGAAAAATTGTCATCTCTATGAGGAATCACTATTGCTTTGAAATTTTCTATTTATCGAACAGGCAAAGGACCAAGAAAGTCATTGTCGGAGAGGTCCAGGATTCGAAACTTGGGAAAAGATGGACGTTCTTTGGTGCTAACTACAAAACCATGGTATTTATTTGACCTTAAAACCAGCACCCTTAGATTTGCTATCTTGTTGTCTCCAAAGTTTAGAACCTCTTGCAAGCTACAATTCATCAAAGAGCTTGGCAACAAGCTTTTCATTTTATTTCCATACAAGTTGAGACTTTGCAATCCATAACCCTCTAGAAAGCTAAATGGTACACCTCCATCAAAGTTATTGGCATGTGAACTCAACACAGAAAGACTTTTGCTCATCAACATTTGGAGATAATTTGGAATCTTCCCACTTATATTGTTAACAGAAAGGTCAAGAACTTGAAGATCATTTGAATGTCTTGGGAAACTGGGGAATTCACTCAAGTTACAAGAAGACAAAATCAAATGTTTTAGTTTGGGAAATGTGAAGTTGGAATCAACATTGATTCTCAAAGACAGATTGTTGTTTGAAAGAATGATTGATTAAGACTTTGAAGCTTTAAGAACAAATCAAACTCTACAAAACCACTCAAATTATTGTGTGCCAAATCCACGATTGTCAATGATTTCTGATGGAATTGTTTTATTTGATCTTGAAGAAAGTTGCAATTGAGAACCCAGACCTATAACGAAGGTAGACTGAAAACTCAGGGTGGCATTGATCCATTAAGTGAGTTATGAGATAGGTCTAGGTGGGATAGTATTGAAAACGTACTCCCTTGAAAAGGAATGGGACGAAAAAGCTGATTGTTTGAAAGATTAAGAAGCTTAAGTTGCGTGACGTTTGTAAGTGATAATGAAATTTGACTCCAAAAGTCGTTATGTCAGAAGTTCACAAGAGTAAGCTTAGATAACTTTCCTATTGAAGCTGGAATGGAACATTTTAAGTTGTAGCTAAAGAGAACTAAAGAACGTAATGACTTTGAACCTGGCCCATTGGGCCAAGTGGCTTCAGCCACTGTTGTAAGGTTCATATCCCTCCCCCTCCCCAAGGGCAACGGTTCGAGCCGGCCCATGAC